AAGCAAATAAGATCACTTAAAATAGCTATAGCAAGTAAAGATAAAACAAAAGTTCAACATATTTCAAAAATCAGATCTGCAATTCAAAAAGCTAAAAAAATAACACCAGAAAATTTTAAAAAATCAGCTAAAAAGCTTTTTAAATTTAAAAATGAGTATTCAGCACAGTTTTTACAAATGGCTACAGAAATTAGTAATTTAGGACAAATTTCTTTAAAATCAACAGTAGTGTGCACTAAAAAATTTTATGAATTTATTACTGGAGAAGAACCAGAAAAATGGATTAATATACATACACTATCAAGATGGAATAAAGAAGTTGCAGCTCTTCAACTTGATTCAAATAAACCTAAATCATATAATATTTCTAATTATGGTTATGGTCTATTAGTAGATGAAAGCAAAAGAGGAGAAAGAAAAATTTTAATAGTTGCTACATCTTTTTGGAATATTGAAACAAACTATCCTATGTTTAGTATATTAGGAGTTGATGATTTAATACATTGCAATTCCAATACTGTTGCCACTAGTGTTACAAAAATTTGCAATAATAATAACATTGATTTTAAAAGATGTATATTTTGGTTAACAGACAATACATCATATATGTCTTCAAATAAAAATGGTGCTGTTGTAAAATTTAATACTTTAAACCAATCTACATCTTTTAGAATTCCATGTGCACTACATGCAACACAAATTGCTTTAATGAATTTTGAAAATAATGCATTTGGAAAAATAGATGGCCCTAAAGGATCTTATAAAGAACATCCATTTAATCTTATTAATTTAGCTTTTAAAATTCATGATGGACATAGTACAACTGATAAAGATAATCCAATGAATTTAAGATCTGAACATATTCACAAACTATATGAAAAACTTTTAAATTATACATTTAGCAAATATCAACAACCAATTATAACAAGATGGAAATATCAATTGATTGCAGCTCAACAATATTTATCTAGACAAGATGCACATATTAAATTTTGTAATTGGTTTCTTCCACAACTTGAATCAATTAAAAATGTTCCAAAAACTTATATATCTCAATGGAAATTATTTAATGAATGGTTACAAAATAGGAAATTAAATATTCAAATCAAATGTCTTGTAAAATTTGGTACAGAATTTTATTTTCCTATTTATGAATTTGTAACACAATATGATCCAACTCCTA